TTTTTGATACCTTCCGTGAATAGGTGAAACAAGTGCTGGTAAAAGCAGTGTCATCAATCTGATTCTCGGGAAGATCTTCTACCATACGCACTATTGAGTACAACATCAACAATCTGCGAGATGAAATATGGCGAGAAGCCAAAGATTGGCGTGCACCTCAAGCAAACTGGTACAAAGACTCCTGAGCCAATATTCCAGGAACTAGTAACAGATGGAAGAGAATCCTACAAGAAGCAGATCGAAAAATTTGTCAGCTTGAAGAGCGGTCGAGAAAAAGTACCTTACACGAAGATAGAATTGTTCTTTCCACACCCATTGTTTAAGGTAATGTTATAATAACAGCATGCGTAGATAAAAATGTTCAGACTAGGAAATGACGACGTGTTGAATAACACAAATGAATGAATGAACGAACGAACTTTAAGTGACTAAGTATTTAGATCGTATTTAAATAGTTTTGGGGGACGAATACGTTTCTTAAAGGAAAATAACATCTGAATTAAATAACTAATTGCGGACACTCAAATAATAAATAATAATAATGATAATGATAATGATAATGATAAATGAATAAGAGATATAAATTTTTACACATAATGAACTTTTGCAAGTTAAGAACGTAAAACTTATTAATCTGTTTAACAATAACAATAACAAAAACAATAACAACAACAATAATAATAATAATAATAATAATAATAGTAACGACTTTTTTTCGGCATTTCCACGAAAGATCAAATAGCTCTTCATCCGAAAGTGAAACTAACTAACTAAAACAATACATAGCAAAACTACTATTTTATCTATTTGCAATCATGACAACAGTATTTGTGACTATATGTATATAAATTCATGAAGTAGAGCGTACAACACACTTTGTGTACATATTTGGGTTTACTTGTACGTCCGAGGATCAGTTAACTTAGTTAGGATTCACACTGGCCTTTATATACCTTGTGTGCATGTAACACACTTTGTGCACGTGCTCTCAATGAAAACAGCAAGGTCACTTTGTCTAAGTTTATTTTTAAAATTGTTCAGTGACGTTCGCTGCCTACCACATGGGTTCAGTTTTGACCAGAGATACGAGCCTAAGAATGTTATTGAATGTTTACCATTCGCCATTTCCACATCTCCCATAATACACCTTGTTTGCCCCCAAAATTTTGCACAAGCATTGTCTTCAGTTTCTCTTGGGACGACTGTAGTACCCAGGAGAAATGGGAAACAAAGGTTATGCAGAATTTTGGGGGGCAAACAAGGTGTATTATGGGAGATGTGGAAATGGCGAATAACGGACTGAGGAGAAGCGAGGCACATTGTTAATATGTATTAAGCCGCATACATCCACTCGGTGGTGGCACATATTTGGATTTACTTGTACGTCCGAGGATCAGTTTAGGCACTTAGGATTCGCACTGGCCTCTAAATACCTTTGTTAACCGAGGATTTTCATTGTCTTTTCAGGAAGGTGTTATGATAGTTGATAGCCCTGGAGTTGGAGAAAGTGACGTCATGAGTGAATTTGTCCTCAACTACTTGCCTCGTGCCTTCTGCTTCATGTATGTCATCAACAGTTACAACGCTGGAGGGATTCAGTCTGACAGGGTACGCGCTTATAAAAATAGGATTTCGCAGAAAGAAACAAATTAACGTTGCTTAATGTACAACATGGTTCAAAGTTAAGCTGCCTTGATGCTCACAGTAACGAATAGTTCGCTGCATTTTCCCGTCCAAAACGGTTTGATGACTGTCATCGTCACACCCGACCGGCGGCCTTCTAAGCTACGGACAAGAGATGTCATCTTGTTCCTTGAAACCTAAAAAAAAAACGAAATTTTCTTTCGTTTATATTGAGGTTTCTTTTTTCAGACATAAATATATAAATTCCCAATCTTGCCTCATTATTTTCTCTCAGCGTTTCAACTACCGACCGTTCTCATTGCACATGCCACCGCTCAGCATCCAGCCGATCCTCATAACTGTGCGAGCATGTAATTAAATTGTAATCTTCATGTTTGTGATGAACAGTGATCAAGATTGAATTATTATTACTTTTCTGTTGGATTAGCTAACTTGTACACGTCTGTTTTGTTTACCTGAACAGCTCGAAAAGTTACTCACCTACTCACCACCTCAAAACCTCAAGGAAAATTCTGAGGTGGACCTTGCATTATTCACTGGCTGTACCTTGTTTGTTGCCAACAAGTGGGATCTGATTGATAGGGAAGAACGCGAGGAAGTGAAAAAAGCGCCAATCGAAAAACTCTCGAAGAAGCTTCTCAACCTAAATCCGAAATCCCAGATCGTGTATTTGTCGTGCAAAACTGCACAGTTGGCTCAGACGTATGGTGTGATCACAGGAGAGTTTAACGACTTAATCGCAGGAATCAGTAATCTGGTTGTCTCATCCATGAAGAACAATCTTCAAAAGTATTTCCGGTGAGAAATTAAAGTATGCAAAAGGAAGATAAAATAATAAATTTAATTTAATTACTCCATTATTTGCATGTGTCCTCGTAAATTGAGGTCGATCATGAAACCCTGAGCAGATTAGTTAAGTTGTGTTTTGGCAAAACGTACACACTTTACTTTCTCAGAGCGTCTCCCCAGCCCTGGCGTTGATGCTCTATATCGTCTTATTGTAACTGAAATGAATGTTTTTTTTTTCTTCTTTACCTTATATCTTCTGAGGTATCAGGCTTCATTTATGAAAATGGTTCAGATATTTTTCGTCAATTAAATTAGTTTTGACAATTTTTTTTGGAAAGCTCGAAAACGGGGATTTGTGAAGTAATTTCAAGCTCATTGTTATATGGTTTGTATTAGTAACCGATATAATGCCCGCTCTGATTCGTTATTTCTAGGGCATTATTCTCCCGTAATGCACACGGGTCAATAGCCCTTTTCACGGTTAGTTTTTCTCATTTGTATTACAATGTAATCCAACGTGGATGCGAGGCAATTTCGGGCTAAAACTACAAAATGGCCCGAAATTGCCTCACATACATGCTAGATTATATTGTAATACAAATGAAAAGATTAACCGCGAAAAGGGCTATTACGGCACCCCAAAACCAAAACAAAAAGCCATCTAATGAACAACTTATTAACCTCGAACGTTCTGTCTTTGCGGGAGAATCTCAAACCTCGGGCTTACCGAATTGGTAGCAACGTCTCGGTTTTAGATTTTCCTGTAAGACCTCACTCTCGGTTAATAAGTAGTTATTAATGTCATGTTTTAACGTGATTATCCAACAGAAAGCTTGA